ATAGATAGATAGATAGATGATAGATCGATCGATCGATAGATAGATAGATAAATTACTGTTAATTCCGCTCCTGTTTGTGTTGTAAATGTTTCAATTTGTCAGATTTACTATTTTCAACATTTACTCTTCAAAATCAAGAAAATCAAGGTTTCTTTAAGTTAACAGAACTTTATTTGATTTCATCTGATGCTTTTTCATTCAAAAAGCATGAAAATAGAAAAGGAGACAGAAGATGGATTATGGATATAAATTTACAAAGAGAAGCAAAATCTTTACAACGATTAACAATCAATGACGACATGGTGACAGTGGGGCACAGCACTCTGGAATAAAATCTCACCAAAAGCTACATTAAACACAAACTTTACATGATGGTTAACATTTAACTTCATGCAACGGCCTGACATTTTAAACTTACTCTTATACACAGACTGTTGGGGGGTGGGGCTTATTTTAAGTGCACCAAATTTCCCTCTGGGATCAATAAAGTATTTTTGAATTTGAACTGAATTGAATTATCTTCCCTCCCCCCCTTTGGCACTGCTAATTATACAAAACTCAGTCCTGGTGTTTTCTAGAAGTGGTGCACATCTATTCTCCTGATGAAAGTGGAAATGAAAGCCTCAAAAAGGAACACACAGTGTAACTTAATTCTATACAGTCGAGTCTCACTGTTAAATACAGACGGAGATCAATGGCACGGATCAAAGAACTCCGACTGGTTTGTTTTAAAGAGAGAAGCACAGGGATACAGCCCAGTACAGGATGACAATAGGCCACGGTGGTCAGAACAGAAACCAGTATATTTATAGCTACTTTACATTTAATCTTCTAACACCCCAGAACCCACATTCACAAGTATTACTAAGAAGGATCGTCACAAACTCGGATACACTATTTACTGAGCGTGCAAATTACCAGGAGGCATCACTCTAAGTCCACAGAAGTCAAGATGCTAGTGCAATGGTTCAAATCATTGACAATAACGCTGTTTCAACTTAATAAATAAGGAAAGCTAAAGCAAACGCACAAAAATAATTATACAATTAGCAGAAACTTCTTTAGTTGGGAATTCGACAAAGGCACACGTGCACAAATCATGTACCAGCCAGTATGTGCACATGCTCAGGCACAAACTCTTAGTATGGGATCTGGTTTTGGTAATACTGGATCATGTCGTACGTCCGACTCCTGTTGTAGGAGGAAAAAAATAAAAAAGAGACAAAATCAGACAAATGTCATGACGTCCACAATTAAAACAAGAAAAGAAGCTACTGACCTGTTGCTGAGGAAACAATTCTGGATAACTTTAATGATGAAGGAAGCTGCATCTTTTTCACTCAAACCTGGGTTGAACCGCTGCCTGATTGCAGAAAATAAATAAATAAATAAATAAATAAATAAATAAAATAAAATACTATAAGCAAAAACAGCTTGTGAATACGTAATTATTCAGTTACAGAAGCACAAAAACACAATTAGGACTACTTTCACTCTGCAGGTCTTCATGTTCAATTCTAATTTTCTGCTCAGATCTAGCATGGTCGTTCATATAATAACTTTAACGCCACTTCCATCAGATTACAGTCTGAACAGTCCASGGCCCTGAAGTGACTTGTGTACAGGTAACGTGGCGTCATATAGATGCTAAACATGTCAGCATGTGTTGAATCTGAAGTTCTTGTGCAAACRGACTAAATTATTATCTGCTATGCTTGTTTCATCCAATGTTTACATTTGAATCCCATCATGCTCAGTACATGACCACTTAGACTGAGGTGGCTTTAAAAATATTCATAGCACATACAGTATGAAAAACAGCTGGATTAAAGGAGACACGTTATGCTTTTAAATACTTATTTTCTCATCTGGAACTGCACTGCTTTGGTATGAATTCCTCCTTATTGTAACTCCACAAGCCCCCCTTTCTCCTCTTTTCGGAGGTGTGTTTCAGATCAACTCGTTTTGAGGCTGTCTCTTTAAATTCAAACTAGGTGTTTCTCCCCTCCAGCTTCCAGACTGGTCCATTCCAGTTTGATAGAGGGGTTTAAGACTATATAGCAGCAAAGAAACTTTTTATTTACAAATTAAAAGATGTTAACAAGGGAAGACTTGTCCATCCAAGTCCAGACCTGATTTAGAAGTTCCATCGTAAATAATTTGACGTAATAGTTCAGAAAATGTCAGAGAATAAAGAAAACTGAACAGGTTAAAGCATATGCCCCAAACAGAATATAAAAATATCTACGCAGCACCGGAAGAAACTAAATTAAACTTTTCTGCACTCCGAGAGACTCCAAGTACACAACAAAAAGCTTTTAATGGCTAAAAAAGTGGATTTTGAGTGATATGTCCCCTTCGAATGGGAAATAAATCCTACATAGGTCACATAATGACAAAAGTTTGTCTTTTCGCCGCAGTGTGAACGTAGGCTTAGACTTACTTGAGTAGTTTGATGGTCTGTCCTCTGAAGCAGGGAAGACCGGTGTCCAACATCAGGTTCACTAAAGAGACCACAGCATCCATGTAGGGCCTGTTTCACAAGAGGAAAACAAAGTCTTACTGCTACCATCTAGCTGTGCTTTCAGAGGTTACTGTAGGTCATCCTCGACTCACCTCACAGCCAGGTATCCTCTCACACACATCTCCATGAACCACTTGAACGGTGTCGCCTCCATCTTTCCACCCATGATCATCACCATCTCGTCGGTGAGTTTGATATCTGGCTCCCAGCCGAGGTTCCCGCCGGGAGAACTTTCAAACATGAACCCAAAATCTGAAAACACGTTAATGAACACAGCGAAACACAGAGGATGGTTATTCAGTGAAACTCATAACTTTTAAAATTAGGTCAAACTGAAGAAGGTGTTTTGGAGAAGAACACACCGATGTGGATGAGGTGACCCTGACTGTCCAGCATGATGTTTCCATTGTGTCTGTCTTTTATCTGCAGCAGGAAGAGCAGCAGGCTGTAAGCTGCCATGCTGCGGATGAAGTTGTACCGAGCCTGAAAGAACAAGAATAGAAGGAGTAAATAATTACATAAACGCAGAGTTGTGAAGTAACTAAGTGCAAATGCTTTGTTACTGTACTTAAGCAGAAATGTTGGTTATCTGTACTTTACATGAGTAATTATTTTTCAGTCTACTTTTTACTTTTACTCATTACATTTTTACACAATTATCTGTACTTTCTTCTACTCCTTACATTAAAAAAAGGCAAGAAGTAGAAAGTTGTGCCTGTTTTATTCCGTGTTTTTATTATTAAAAAATATACTATCCTGCTAAATTGTAGCTCCTGGATAGAGCAAATTTAATTGCAGTTGGATGAGAAGTATAAATATATACAATTCTGACACCGTATTACTTTGTACACAACCCATCACAGCTGCACGCCATTAGAAAAAATATTTTTTGGAGAAGTCACCTCCCAATAAATGTCATTTAGGAAAATCTAACTGCTCACTTGTACTCAGTACTTTTACTTTTAATACTTAAGTAGATTTTGTGTCAGAAATTTACTTTTGATACTTAAGTACAAAAAATATCAGATGCTTTAAGACTTTTACTCAAGTAATATTCTTAGAGAAGACTTCAACTTTTTCCAAAGTATTTTTATGATAAGATACTTATACGTTTACTCAAGTTTCACGTTGAGATACTTTGTACAACACTGCATAAACGTGGATGAACATTACAGGRATTTAAATGGGTTTATTAACGCCTGTTAGAAATAGTTAAATTAAGGATTTACTTTCTGAAACGCGAGCGTGGATTCATCTCCGTATTGGTTCCTGAAGTAGTCGTACATGCCAAAGTCCGTCTGTCGGCCCAGCTGGTCTCGAGACTTGCAGTCTGGGATGCACTCAATCACTCCACACTGATGGAATATCAGAAAACATATGAATAAAAAAGGTGATTTCCAGAGATTGTAGCCTATACCCAGCTTTTAAACAATAAATACACCATACACCTGACAGGAAGTGGTAAAGTGTTAAAAAAACTTACTCCAGGAGCCGTGGCCACAACTCTGTAAGGAAACACATAGAGATCCAGGCCCACCATCTGGAAGATGTTCTTAAACAAGCTGATGATCTGAAGAGCCAACATGTCCTGTAAAAACACAGAGTAAAGAACAGAATCGGCTCAAAGTCTGACCATTTATGGCAGSAGAGAAGAAAGCTAATGATCAGACCTGTCTACAGTCGTCTCCAACTTTAAAGATGGCGGCTTGCCAGCAGACTCTCCTGGCCTCTTCTTCATTTTTCACCTCATCTACAGAATCTGAGCGGGACTGAAGGCCTGAGGGAAGCGAACAGTTTCCTGTATAAATTAAGTTTGAACAAAAACCCCACAGAGCAGGATATTTGAATCTACTTGTGGAACTGTACCTTCTTTTTCAAGCTCACTGACTCCACATCTCTTAACTTTGAACTTGGCGAGGTATGGAGCTTTAGCAGCACTAAACAGAGACGAAAAGACGACAAATGTTTTTGAAAAAAAAATACAGCGACAAAAAATACATTTATTGTTAAAGTAAGTTGTTCACTTGGATGAATCCAGGTAAATTTTGAAGGCCCACCTCTGCATGGGAGTTCCAGACTTATAGTCTATATCTAAAACTATGGCCTCTGGGTTACTGGGAAGGTAACAGCCACGCTGGACTTTAATCTGCGACAGGGCCTCCAGGCAGGCCTTCTTCCTCTCCTCCCCTTTTGGGAAAGGCCTGCCAAAGACAAACAAACACCACTTCAAAACAAACTTTGCACACTTTGCTGTCGGAACATTTGTTACTCAGACCTCTGAGATCTATGGGCATCTCACTAAATGAATCCAGACCACAAGTGACAGCCAGGTTCTGCTGCCGGTCACAAAGGAGAGTCACTAATAGGGAGTAGAAGTCAGGGGACAGCAGAGCTTTCTCCCTTGTTGTTGCAATTAGACTTGTAATGAGGGCAGAGGGGAACTTGTGGTTCTCCAGAGGGCTGACAAAACACTTTCTGTACGCAGGCTGTCAAAAAAAACCAGCTCGTCAGTGACGCTGCGATCTCACTGGTTGACGTGCGGTCAGAGACAAGACGCGCCACGGTAAAATGTTTTCCACAGCCGCGCACAAAGTGACAAATAGCTAAATTTATGAACAACAAAAGGGATTTAGAGGGCAGAACACAGGAGACAGGAAAAGGAACAAAACATCTGTGCTTATGGGAAATCTGATCACATCATAAACACGTTGAGTGTCACCTGGAGGGTTCTTTTTAACTAAAGTTACACGAAAGTAATGACCTTAAAGTCTTCAAAAATGTCACAACCATTCTATTTGTAAACATTTTTCTTGATGCCTGATGAATTGCATTACATTGTAAGTGTACTTCATTAAATCAATATTTGAAATAACGTCTGTTATGGTAAATATTTATTTAACAAAGACAGAAATACGTGGTCCAAGAATGAAGGTACTCCGTGAGATGATCAGCTGAGTTTTATTGCAACAACAGGAAACACAGAGAACGTGGCCTGTCTCTGTGCCTCTGCTTCTCTCTGTCACTGTCTCTCCACACTACTGTTGCACACTGTTGTACACTGTGTCTCGAGATGCCTCATATATATATATATTAACAAACACCATTATGCCATCTTAGCAAGATTTGATACAAGGTCAATGGAAAACACAAAGATAAACACAAGTGATGAGATCTAAGAATAACTGTTGTTAGCAGATCTTGTTCTGACTTTAATCATTCTGTCTGCAAATGAACAGAATGTCATGAAAACCTAGGTCATTAAAGGATGTCATGAATTACTTGCTTAAACATAAAGTATTAGTTCTACCACAACGTCCTACAAAGATTGTGGAAGAAGAACTGAGGTAAAAATGCAAGTTAAAGTAATAAAAATAGAAGAATAATGTGAAACAAATAGATCAAGGTTTTGTCTTGTGATCTGCATTGGGTGCTGTGAGTATGGGATTGTAGGTCTGTTGTTCCAGGCCATTCATTTCTTATACAAGTGTTGCGAGAGTTTGGTTTATGTCGACRTTAAGTTGGACCCCTTCAAAGTGGGCCTTGGACTCGGCAATATCTGCCTGTTTTCACCAAGGAAGTCCGGTTCAGTGGCCTCAGGACTCTATCATTATTTGCAGATGATGTGGTCCTGTTAGCGTCATCATGTCATGATGGGTTCACAGCTGAGATGAGGATCAGCACCTCCAAATCTGAGTCCATCGTCCTCAGTCAGAAAAAGATGGATTGCTCACAGAGTTAGGTGTGAGGTTCTGCTTCAAGTGGAGTTCGAGTATCTTGGGCTTTTTGTTTACGAGTGAGGGAAGAATGGAGCGTGAGATTGAAAGACAGATCGGTGTGACTTCTGCAGAGTTGTGGACTCTGTACCGGTCTGTTGTGGTGAAGAGGGAGCTGAGCTGTAAAGTAAAGCTCTCTGTTTACAGTCTACATTCTTACCCTCACCTTTGGCCACAAACAGTAGTGACAGAAAGAATAAAATCAGGGATACAAGCAGCTGAAATGAGATAGAGTGAGAAGTTCAGTTATCTGGGAGGGACTTGAAGTAGAGCCGCTGCTCCTCCACATGGAGAGCAGCCAGGTGAGGTGGTTCAGCCATCTGGACAGGATGCCTCCAGGAATGTTCGACAGGGAGGAGCCCCCGGGGAAGACCCAGGACACGCTGGAGAAACTTTGTCTTGTCCATCTATATCTTGTCGGGCCTGGGAAAGACTTGGAATCTTCCGAGCTGGAAGAGGTGGCTGGGAAAAAGAGGTCTGGGCCTTTCTGCTAAAGCAGGTAAGCTAGCTCTAACGTAGACTTCTAACCTCCTTTTTTGTGTCCATTTAGTTCCCAAAATGTTGTTTGAATGAAAAATTTTACTGCAGAAAAGGGTTAAATAATTTGTTTTGGTTTCTTTTAAGACTAAGAGCTACAATTAGGATTTTATTGGACTCGTGATTATGGATGCTTCGTGATGCATCGATAACTGATTTAAAACAGACACAGCTTCTGCAGTTTCTTTTTCACTCCCTTTTTCCAAAAGCAAATGTACTTAGAAATTCATTTCTGAACAGAGCCATCTTCCATCTCTGGAATGTGTTGCCTGTTGAATTTACACAGTTTGACATTTGTCAGAAATTTAAAAAGAACTTAAGGATATTTTATCTTTTATGCCATTAGATATCAGCTTTTAATTTTATGTATAGTTATCTCAGTAACAGTAAAACTATGTGCTATGTTTGTTTTTTGTTCAAATGTTGTGACTCTTCTAGGTATCGGGGGAGGGTGGTGGTATGTTTTAACTTTGCTAATTTAGTTTTGCTCTTTTAATTTGGGTGTAAAGTTTTGTTTTTGAGCGGAAGAACAGTCTTCACGGAGGTAAGGACTGATGAGGATCCATTTAAATAAACAAACAAAATTTATGAAAACTGCATCACAGCCTTCTAAGTTGTAATCTAATCGAATCGTGAGATATGTAAAGTCTCAGCCCTGGTGAGTTTCAAAGAAATTAAAAATCCAGTGTTTAGGAGTAAAGCGTGGTCATACTTGATAGTGGCAGACACATTGGTAATCTTGTTGAAGAAGTCGAACTCTCTCTGGTAAAAGTCTTTAGCCGGACCCGACAGGGAGCCAGTGATCTCCTCCACCATCTGTTCTAGCAGCTCGCCAATATCAGCTGTAAAAAAAATTAAACATAACAGTGTATTTATATATTTTTATTTGCTCATGTTGAGTCAGAATGAGGTGGAGGAGAACTCACGGTCCTTGTTGTGTCCTTCTTCATCCAAGAAAATGTTGGTCTTCATGTTCCAGATGAACTGGTGAGCCAGAAGTTGAGACTTCTGAGCGGCCCACAAGATGTACTCTCTGACATAACCCATCTGTATTTCAATGTAAAAATAAAAAAGAAAGAGAGAGAGAAATGATGCATCGTAATGGGTTTAAAATAATTTTCTGTGAGAAAACTGAGCACTTACCTTGTCGTACCGAAGAGCTTGGACGATTTGAGGAATGTAAAATAAAATGGCATCCTAAAAATAAAAAAAAATGTTTTTTTTGCACAGAATTAGACATAAATGGAAAAATAACAACAATTAGGTATCCTTGTGTGATGTGTTCATGYGCGTACAGGAGGAAAGGAGCGCAGCACTTTGACCCCGTACTGGGCTGTGAGGGGGTGAGGGGGGTACATGGAGGAGAAGTAGGACAGTCCAGTCGGAGGGTCTGCTGGGGCCCAGCACAGGATGTGGCTCAGTTCTGGGGAGTCGGCATCAATTGTGTGCCACGTTACCAAGAACTAAAAATTTTAAAAAGTTAAAAAAAACTGTTAGTCTAGCCGACAGTTACATCACTGGCACAGCATGATATGATGCAATCAGCATCACAGGACCGGATCTGATGGTGCACAAATTAACCTCAGGAGGAAGCTTAAAAAAACAAACAAGTTTCTAAAGTCACAACAGGTCATTTATTAATTGATGACACTCCTCTGGGAAGCCATCTTTTTTTAAACAAGTATAGAGCTCATTAGAAGCTTGTTCAATAACAAAATAATTACTTGTGTTTTCTTACATCTTAAAAAACAAACTTTAACCAATGAAAACTTCATTTTTTGTCCAGTTTGTTTTAGCATTACAAAAACCCAGTCGTACTGATGAGTGAGTGTTACTAGTGTTATTAGTCTTAACTACAACTGCCCCCTGCTGGGGATCTGTGAGCGGTCAGGAGCTCACCTTGACTGCCTCAGGAACGTCACACACAGCTGCTGGATCCATTCGCACCAGACGTGTCACCTCAGAAACAATGGACTCTGTGTTTTTGAATCTAACACCAAAAAGAGGAAAAAGGAAAAAAAATACACAACTGAGTTATTTACAAATTCAATACAAAAAAAGAGCAGTGATGTAGGGGCTACTATCATGAATGTTTTAGCTGTTTTCCTGCTCCAACACACCTGATTAACCTGTTTAGTATTGAAGTCTATAGAAGTTAATCACTCATTCATTCATGTTCTAAAACCAGGGTTCCCACACCTTGGCCAACATCAAATTCAAGGACCTTTCAAGGACTTTCCAGTACCAACTTCCTCAAATTAAAGAACCAAGCGCAAAAGCAATTACCTACTGSTACCGCAGAATGTTACCAATAAACAGGTTTAATATCATGTAAATTCAATGAAAAACTGAACAACATAGAAGTTGTTGAGTCAGAAACAATGACATCAGTTTACTGTAATCTTGAGTTATCCACCGCAGCAAATGTAACTTTATTTTTTATTAAATTCTATAAATTATTTTTTTAAAAGATGATGAAAATCAGTTGTGTGAATTGAGAATTTCAATCCCCCAAAAACATTCAAGGACTTTCAAGGACAACTGTAATTTTTGACTGTTTTCACAAACTTTTCAGGGCCTTTAAATCGTTTTTTTTTTTCAAATTCACAAACTTTCAAGGATTTCAAGGACCCATGGGAACCCTGTAAAACATGCAGGATAGTGGCCTGCAAGAACCTGGACTGGACACCACAGGGTTAGACCATTTATTGGTAAATAAGGTAACCTTTGATTTTTAAAAACTGTATTAGTATTTGTAAAGAACTTGTGCTGTAGTAATAAAATAAACTGATTTTGCGTTATTAAATTAGTTACAATCAGGCATAAAGTAGATATTAAAAACCGGACGCTGTAATCTAAGAAATAGTTTGAATCAAACTGGACAAAGTGCAATACATTTAAACTTTTGTTCGCTGCATACCTGGCAGGCAGCTGCAGGGCGAGGTAAGGAGCTATGCTCCACGCCAGGTTGACATTGTCTTTCCACTGTTTTTCTGTCAGGCTGATGTATTTGGACCTCCAGTTAGCTATACTGGTCTCCACCGACTGCTCTGTCGTGATAGCTAGCTCCTGGGTGGATAACGGGTTGTACCATATGGTCAGCCGCTCAATCTCACTGGCCTGAAGAGGAACACACAGGTGGAGAACTCAATCTCATTCAATTCAAAAAATTCAAATTCAAAAATACTTTATTGATCCCAGAGGGAAATTGGGTAAATTAAGTATTGAGAAGGTTAAAAAAGTCCACATTTAAATCTCTTTACAGTTGTAGAAAAAGGTAAGTACCAGTAAAGCCAGTAAGAGAGTCCTGCGTTTCATGTAATATTTGTGCAGCTGGGAGCCTCGGTTGCTTTTCTTAGAAAGCCCTAAAACAACAGAAGTCACATCTATAAGCTAAAAGCAGATGAAACGTAATGGTGCAAAGTTTTTGTTTTTTTAAATTTCGTGTTTTTTACCTGACTTCTTGGAAAGGGTGGACATCCCAGAGGAGAGAGGGTAAGTGTTGATCCATCCCTGAGGAATCTGCTGCCGCTGGCCTACAGCCACGTCCAGGCTGCTGCGGCTGTCTGCCACCGCCATCACGGACAGGCTGTTCACCGACATGTCCTGGGGATCTAAACAAACAAAAATATCATCGTTTGGACTACATATTGTACAAGGAACTTTACAGAGAATTGTTATAATAAAAGTTAAGGTAACTTTATATGACGTTTGGTGGTTTTAAACAAAAATTTGATTTGATCTGGGTGAAAACGTCCCTTTATGCTGGAAACGTCTATAGACTAGAAAGATACTAAATTAACCTGAGGAAAATAAGTTATTCATATTTATTTCATTATTTTAAATATTAATTATAACAATTTTCTAAACATCCAATTAAAAATTACTGTATTTATTCGTGTATAATACGATCTCATGTATAATACAAC